TTTGTCCACTTCTGGTACCTAGACCAGTGTCTGGAACATAGCATGTGATCAATATTGTTTCAATTAACTAATGAGTTATTCAGTGGGGAGTTCAGGATGCAAACAAACATATTTAATAAAGTAGTTGAACAAAATAAGGAATACATTATAAGATATGTTTGAATAACTCATAGTGATACCCAACAGAGAGCAGTGTACCTCCAGAAATGTTTGTCAGCTTGTCCAAAGTCATAGAGACTGGCATTCACCACAAACTCTGCTTTACAAGTTCTCAAAATTGATGCTGTCATCTTGTTGGCATGCCAGGAAGGACCCAACTCTCAGTGGAAGGCTCACATTGGCAAAACTCCTAAGGTTGAATTCCAAACTAATAATATAGATTCAGAAATAAAACTGTCACTGATAGCCATTTCTCTACCTTTTCATATGACCAAAGAAGCCGCCAAAGTGTATTAAAAATTTTGCTTGCCAAGCATGAAACTAGAATATTAATTGTTTAATGTCATCAAGCTAAGAATTAACTTTTTAAATAAACTGGTCTATTTTTAATTACATATTTTTGTCCATATTCACAATAGGACAAAATTTTGTGGATTTTTGTTTTATTTTTTGCTTTATGTTACTAGCTCTGATTGTCCATATCTCTTGTAAATATGATAGGTCTGATATTTCATTTAGTACACAAAATATTTCCTAGAACTGTTTCATGTTTTTAAATATAATTCTGTATTGTTATCATTAATTCAATTATTTATTAATTTATTTTAGTATTATTAAATAATTATTGAGTTATTTCTCATGTTGGATACTGGAAATTTGGTGACAAGGGTCACCAAATTAGACAAGGGTCTTCATCTTATGTATGTTACAGTGTAGCCTGGAAAACAAAAGTTAACAGGCAACTGCAGTACAATATTTTAAGTTTACTCAGCACAGTGAAAGGCCGTATATGAAGGACACCCAACGCATTCTTTAGAGATTGGTGAAGTCTTTCCGGACAAGATGAAATGTAATTTCAACCTCAATGAATATAGGCTGTATGGATTAGATTAATAAAATTGCTTTATGGATTTAGAATAGGAAGGGAAAAGTATTCTCAGCAGGAGCTAAAACTAAGAGATTCAGGAACATGGCACATGAATGGAACTATACATGTGTCTCTGTGAGTGGAGCTTAAATCAGTGTAAAAACATGGTAGGAAGAGATGAACGCTATTGGGACATTTTAAACGGTGAAGAATCATAATAAAATTTGTACTGCAGAAAGATATTGCTGACTAGAATGTGGATAATACACTTGGAGATTGGAGGAAGAGACAAGGAAGACCTCAATTCAGGGTCACTAGTTAGGAGGCTTTTATAATAATTTGTGTGAGAGACAGTTCCCGTCTAAATAAAAGTAATTACAGATCGCACAAAAATAAAAAGACAGACATAGGATATATGAAAGGGGAAATTTTATAAGATTTGATTATCAGCTATGTGTGAGATAAGAGGAAAATTAAATATCCCTGAGAATAAATGCCAGGGTTCCCGTTTATATCCCTGAGTGGATAGGGTCATTAAATGGGAAATGTATGCAGGGAAGGTTTGGGGTAAAGATGATAAATGCACCATTCATATGACTAATTCAAAGGTCAATTCAATGATGTTTCTAACATGTTGGTTGATATGAACTTGGAGCTCAGGAAAAAGAGGCTTGAGATAAGTTCTAAGAATCATCTGCATATTGATTGTATTTGGGTGTTGAAGTAATTTTCCAGGAAATGAGTTTAAGGGAAAGATGAAGAAGGATAAACTGAGAAGGATTTGGGGATGCAATAGTCAGAGGTGTAATAGGAAACTCTGGAGTTTAGCTGCCATTAAAGAGAATTACAGGCAATTCTCTACCGTGCCTGCTGTTGTGGAGAGATGAAATAACATATGGACTGAAAACAAAATGTTCACTAACTATAACGTTAAGTCAATTTGGCAAAAATAATTTGAGTAAAGTGTTGAATAGAAACCACATTTTTGTGTGTTGGAGAGTAAATGAGATAGAGGGGATTAAGGGATGAAGTGTAGAAAACTTAATCAAAGATTTTATATTTGTAAGAAGAAAAGATATGTTAGTAGCTAGAGAAATATTTGAAGTTAAGATTTTTTTTAAAAGTTTCTTGTAAGAAGATTAAAATATTTTAATGATATCAACATGTAAAAGAAAAACTTTATTGTTTTTCAGAATTGTTTCTAATGCCTCATTTTGTCTGTAGGTGTTAACAATATGCATAAAGTACAGTTGGATGTCAGAAAAAAGGAGTTCAGGAAAATGTCAAGAGAGAAGATGGGCAAATAGGGAAGATAAAGGAAAGAAGAAGGAAAAGGAGAATGTAAAGGACAGAATTTTAGCAAATAGCACATTTAATGGAGAGCAGAGGGAGTTAAACCTAAACAGACAACACATAAAGAAACGATCACACAGTATGAACTAGGAGATATGGCATCCTACAATCCTATGTGGAAGAGTATTTGAAAAAGGAGGGGGTCAGTACTATCAGATGCTACCAAGTGGGAAGTCCAGATGGGACTCATGATATTTCCTTATGCAATAACTTACATAAGCAGAGCAGAAAGAGAAATGGGCTATAACTAGAGAGTGAGAGTGAATCTAAAGAAAGATTGCTAAAACTCATTTAAATCCAACTCAAATGTGATTTATTCTGAGAAAGTTTATCTGAAAAATCCATTAGGAACATATTTCCCTTCCCTCAACATTTCTATGGTGCAGCTACCAAACACCCAAGCAATTTCACTCCTTGGAATTTATTCCAGATAAATAAAGACTTGTGTACATTTTTTAAAACTATACATAAATGTTCATGGCAGATTTATTTGTAATAACTAAAAAAAAAAAAAAAGAAAGAAAGAAATAACCCATGTTTCCTTCAATGGCAGAATGGTTAAACATATGATAGTATATTCATATCATGGAATATAATACAGCAACAAAGAGAAACAAACCATTGATACATCCATCAACCTGAATAAATCTCCACAGAATCATGCTGTGTGGAAAATAGAAACATCTAAAACAACATATACTATATGATTTAATTTATATAACATCCTTGAGTTGACAAAATTATAGCAATGGAGACCAGATTCGTGGTTACCTGGGGTTAAAAAGAGTTATATGTGGGGAGATGTAAGGGTGGCTGTAAAAGGGCAACATGAGTTATACTTGTAACTTTCTGTATCTTGATTATATTAATTAATGTCACTATCCTAGCTGTGATATTTCACTGTAGTTTTCAAAGTTGTTACATTGGTGAAAACTAGATAAAGAGTACATGGGGGTCTCTCTCATTACTTCCTACGAATTCATGTAAATCTATATTTTCTCAAAATAAAAAAGTTTAACTTTTAAAAGGCTTAAAAATAAGTAGAGTGTTAAAAAGGATAGTTGAAAGAGCCCTAGTTTCGAAGTCACATTGCCTTAGGGTTGAATCCAAAGTCTGCCACTTTTTTAGTTATGTAAATGTCACATTCGTGAGCCTTAAATAAAAATTATCAAGATCACCATCATCATCACAGCCACCATTAGAGCCCTTATGGAGTTCTTAATATGTCCCACTTACTGTTTCAAACACTTTGTGTATTTTAACACATTTAATTTTCTCAACAGCCCTATCAGGTGGGGATCATTATTATCTTAATTTTAAATATTGAAAAACTAGGCCGGGCGCGGTGACTCAAGCCTGCAATCCCAGCACTTTGGGAGGCCGACACGGGCGGATCACGAGGTCAGGAGATGGAGACCATCCTGGCTAACCCAGTGAAACCCCGTCTCTACTAAAAAATACAAAAAACTAGCCGGGCAAGGTGGCGGGCGCCTGTAGTCCCAGCTACTCGGGAGGCTGAGGCAGGAGAATGGCGTAAACCCGGGAGGCGGAGCTTGCAGTGAGCTGAGATCTGGCCACTGCACTCCAGCCTGGGCCACAGAGCGAGACTCCACCTCAAAAAAAAAAAAAAAAAAAAGTAAAAATAAATAAATAAATAAATAAATAAATAAATAAATAAATGTTGAAAAACTAAGACACAGAAAGAAAAGGTAATAACGCTAAGGGCCACAGAGTAACTAAATGAACACTAATTTGAGCCCAGACTGTCTTCCACAAGACTTGATACCTGCCCCTAACATTTATGGGGCAAGACAAAATGTGAAAAAGAGGTCCCATGCTGTATGTCTAAATGTTTATGAGCTATGGAAACTAATAACTTTAAAATAAATATATATGTTGTCCTTCTGCTTTAACAAATATACTTTGTAAGCCACTTGGAAGATTATGTTTGAATTTAAAATTTTCAGACTTAACAATTCCACTCTATAAACATGACCTAGCACCTTTTTCTTTCCCCTCATGGTTTGGTTTCACACTGTGGGCAGCCCTTTGCACATTTGAGTACACACTTCAGCCTGCAAGTTGAAGCCTCGTTCATAGTCAGGCCTAAGGGTATACCTACCAGTGAGTCAGTGTGTTTTTGGTAGATGGACTTGGAGAAAAGGCTGTGTAAATGCTGGAAGCATAGAGCTTTTAGTCAGGGAGTCTCAAGATCCTGAAATTCAAAGGCATGGTGTAGAAGTAGGTAGGATCCGTTCCAACTGTAATGGCTTCTTGACTCTGTGCAATCACCCCTCACACTCTGGGAGGGGAATGGATAAAAGAGACACAAAGTGAGGTCCACTGTAGGGGGTCCCTCTTAATCTTAGTCCTAAAGTCAAACTTAAGCCTGAGTGAGATACTGGCCTTATTTCAGTGGGAATAATACTTTTCTTTTATGGTTGTGAAAACTACATGAGGTCTCTCATGTGTGTTGTGCAAGATGTGTGCTGCGGTGCTGCATTAGAGGGAGGATGTAGCTTTTCTGTTAATATTTCCAACTACGTTTTATTTATTATCAATCAGTAAATGTTTCCAACATTAATAATATTTGTAGTTATATTATTTATTTTCTTGATAGATGGACTAGAGGCTTTTACCAGATTTCTTAAAACTGAATTCAGTGAGGAAAATATTGAATTTTGGATAGCCTGTGAAGATTTCAAGAAAAGCAAAGGACCTCAACAAATTCACCTTAAAGCAAAAGCAATATATGAGAAATTTATAAAGACTGATGCTCCAAAAGAGGTACAGTAAAGATAACTGTAAAAATGCATAACTGCTTTCAAAATTTTTTAATAATTTTATTTTAAAATTGTGAATTATATTTTTCCCAACTTATTTTTATTAATTTTATTTATAATTGACATGTAATAATTATATATGTTAATGGAATACGGTATCATGTTTTAATACATATATGCATTGTATAATGATAAAATCAGAGTTAGCATGTTCATCAAATTAAACATTTATCATTTCTACATGGTGATAATATTCAATATGTTCTTTTCTAGCACTCTTGAAATATACCGTGTATTATTACTCGCTATAATCACCTATTAGGTAATATAACACCAGAACTTATTCTTCCTATCTATCTCTGTACCTGTTGATTCATCCTTTCTCCATCCTCCCATCCTTCCTACCTTACCTAGCCCTTGGTAACCACTATTCTGCTCTCTACCTCTATGTGAGCAACTTTATTAGATTCCACATAAAGGTCAGATCATGTAGTACTTATTTTTGTGTGCCTGGCTTATTTCTTTTAACATAATGTCCTCCAGGTTCACTCACGTTGCCACAGATGACCGAGTTTCTTTGTTTTTTTTTTTAATACCTCAATAGTGTCCCCTATGTACCACATTTTCTTTATACATTCATCCTTTGATGGACATTTAGGTTGATTCCATCTCTTGTATACTGTGAATAGTGCTGCAATAAACATGGGAGTGTAGATATCTTTTTAACATGCTGATTTCAATTCCTTTAGATATATACCTAGAAGTAGAATGGCTGGATCATATGATAGTTTTATTTTTAATTTTTGAGGAATACTTATACTATTTTCTATAATGGCTGAACTACCTTACATGCCCACCACCAGTACACCAATGCATGAGTTTCCCTTTCTCGACATCCTCACCAACGTTTGTTATTTTTTGTCTTTTTCATTAGTAGCCGTTCTAACTGAAGTGAGTTGATAGCTCATTACAGTTTCCACTTACATATCCCTGATGGGTAATGATGTTGAACATTTTGTCCAAAATGGCACTTTATGTCTTTTTTGAGAAATATCTATTCAGAGCTAAATTTTTTAGGTAATCTGCCTTTATCAAATTTGTACCCTCATACATTCTACCAGAATGTTCATGATGTTGCTGGAATACATTGTAAAATACTATCATAGAAGAAAAAGTACAATTAAAGTCACTTCTCAGAGTTATTTTCTTTCTAGACTAAGAGTGAATATGATTAATTGAAACATTTAGATTCATTCACTTAATCATATTAATCACTTTAGCACAAGCAACCTCTCATAGAAACTAAAGATTTCTATAAGTGATGAAGTCAAGAGACATCAAGAAGTTTGTATCATGTATCATTTTAATTTTGGCTCATCTATTTATATAGAGTTTTGTTGCTTTAGGGCTACTTTAAAGACAGGTTAAAAGAAAAATCTTATAATAGAGAGATGAGGTAAACCTAACTAGAAAAATTTTCAAGTGGAAAACAATTGAGATTTTCTTTTACTCCAAACTCAATGTGAAGTAATTGTGTGAAACAATTGCTAAAATGGTTATAAGACTAACAAATATGACTTGACTGCCCTCAAATATTAATTAAATAGAGTTTCAAAGTTTCTAATATGTGTTTTATAAATAGTGATTCTCCCAAAACCAATGTTTTATATCGGATTTTTTTTGTTTTTGTTTTTGTTTTTGTTTTTAAAAAGGCTACTAGTTGTATTGTGTTATGGACAAGGGGAAAGAAAGCCTCTACCTGAAAACCTACCACCATCAGAACCGGATATATATGCAGTGCTATGATACAAGGCATTAAAGAATTTTATATCTTTAAAAGACATTCATACTACAGCATATGTTTGCTTGGAGGAAAGCATCATAACATAATGAAATAAACACTGGAATAAGTAGAAGTCCCATATTAAAATCTCTAATATGCCCCAGCTCCTTTTTTTCCCATGACTCAAATAATTTAACCTCCATGAGGTTTAGTTACCTATTTTGAAAATGAGTTATGCTTTAATTATTTACATGATCTTTAGCAGTTCAATATGCCATTATTCTGAATTCGTAGAGAGTAAGAAGGACCAGGAATTCCAGGAGAGAAGAACCAGATGAAATGCTAGTCAAGAATAGAGGAAAACACCCAAGCATCTATATTAGGCCATTCTTGCACTATAATAAACACCAGTGTTCACAACAGCATTGTTCACAATAACCAAAATGTGGAAACAACCCAATTGTTTAGCAACAAATGAATGGATAAACAAAACGTGGTATACTCGTAGAATGGAATATTCAGCCACAGAAAGAATAAAGTTTTTGGTATATGCTAAAAAAAAAAAAAAATAGAAATACCTGAGACTAGGTAATTTATAGGAAAATAACTTTAACTGATTCATGGTTCTGCAGGCTATATAGGAAGCCTAACAGCATCTGCTTCTGAGAAGACCTCAGGAAGCTTCCAATCATGGCAAAAGGCAGAGGGGGGACAGTTATCTCACATTTCAGGAGCAGGAGTAAAAGAGAGAGAGAGTGAAGTACCACACACTTTTAAACAGCCCGATCTTGCAAGAAACCACTCACTATCGCGAGGACAGCACTAAGGGGATGATTCTGAACCATTCACGAGAAATCCACTCCCATGATCCAATAACTGCCCACCAGGCTCCACTTCCAATGCTGGGGATAACAATTAAACATGCGGTTTGGGCAGGCTACACACATCCAAACTATATCAGCTTCTAAGCCCACCATGCCCACTCCAACATTGCATCAGTCCTGTACTGTTTCTCAAAGTTGTTTATATAAGCATATTAACTATAATCTCACTTTTTTTTCTGTTTATCCAGGTTAACCTTGATTTTCATACCAAAGAAGTCATTACAAAGAGCATCACTCAACCTACCCTCCACAGTTTTGATGCTGCACAAAGCAGAGTATATCAGCTCATGGAACAAGACAGTTACACACGCTTTCTGAAATCTGACATCTATTTAGACTTGGTTGAGGGAAGACCTCAGAGACCAACAAATCTTAGGAGACGATCACGCTCATTTACCTGCAATGAATTCCAAGATGTACAATCAGATGTTGCCATTTGGTTATAAAGAAAATTTATTTTGCTCATTTTTATGACAAACTTATATATCTGCTTCTAACATATCACATGTTTATGTTAATATCTGGTCCCATCCTTTAAACTGAAATATGTCATGTGAAATGATTTTAAAAATGTAAAAACTAAACTTTTTGTTAACAAAGTATATACAGTATCTGCCAGTATATTCTGTAAAACCTTCTATTTGATGTCATTCCATTCATAATCAGAAAAAACTTATTTCTTAATTAAAAGGCAGTAGAAAAAAGTAATAATGTTTTATAAGATTGTAGAGTTAAGTAAAAGTTAAGCTTTTGCAAAGTTGTCAACAGTTCAAACAAAAATCTAGTTGGGATTTTTTACAAAAGCGGCATAATATGTGTTATACAAACATAATAATACTCAGATATCCAAATGTTCAGATAGCATCTTCCATAATGAATGTTCTCTTTTTTCTCTTTTTTCGGTTCTCTTTTTACATAGTGTAGAAGTGATCTGGTTCGTATAATGGGAAAGGAAGAACATTTATTATTGGTTTACTACTAACCCTGTCCCAAGAATAGTAACATCACTTCTAGTTATAAACCAGCAACAGGAACTTTTGTGAAGACACATTCGTCTCTACAGAACTTCAGATTAAATATAATCTAGATTAATGACTGAGAATAAGATCCACATCTGAACTCATTCCTAAGTGAGCATTAACATACCCAGTTATACAAAGCACTTCTGTTGGTCACAGAAACATGACCAGATTTTGCATATCTCTAGGTAGGGAACTGAGTAGACTACCTTATCACCTGCTAAGAAAACTTGCTACTAAACTATTAGGCCATCAATGGCTTGAATAAAAACCAGAGGTGGTTTTGCCCAGGAGGTCTCATGTTTGGCTCTTTGGAATTGTGGGTAGAAATCAGAAACCAGATGAGGGGAAGAAGCAAGGAGTCTAAGGCCCTGGCGATTTGGTCATCTGCCACATTGGTTCATATTCAGAAGGTGTTATTTCATTGATTATATTCTTGTTAAACAAATCTGCTTAAGTAATTATTATTCAAATAAGATTATACTAATTCATTTATATGTGACTGTTTTAAAGAGCTATTTAATTTTAAATGTGTTACATGGTCTGTAAATATTTGTATTTAAAAATGCCATGCATTAGGCTTTGGAAACATAATGTTAGTGGAAACGTAAAATGTAAACACTTTAGATCATTTGTAGTGATAAATATTTTTAACTTCATTCATACAGTTAAGTTTATCTGACAATAAAAGCTTTCACTGAATGTTGATTATCCTTCCTGTTATGTAATAAGGAATAAACATATTTTCTTCTTTTAGAGTAATATTGGGATAGAAAGTATTAATTGAGTTATTGTATCATTGATCTTAATGCTATATCAGTTGTTTAAACTGTTGTGAACATAAAAACAAAGTATCTTGCATTTCAGAAATCAACTAAAAAGGTGATTTTTATGTTTTCCTTGGTTAATTCCTGTTTTCTTTTTCTGTATAAAATTTAATTGTTTCATATACAGAGTTAAGACTTGATACAAACTTTGTGATCTCATCAGAAACATCATGGGCTGATTTTAATAGCATTGCTGTGGTACCACAAATACGTATCATGTAGCTTTTCCATATATAATGCTGTTCAAAATCATCTGATCTCTTTGTTAAATTATGAAATATTCAATGAGATGCTTCAAAAACATAACAGGACTTCTTCATAAAATTAATCACTGACTTCAAAAACTTTGCACTTTCTGGAGGAGACAACATGGACAAATACAGAAACAAACTAAATAATTGGACAACTGAAAGTAGCCAAGTACAGATGCACAGAAAGCACTGAGTGTTGGCTGAATGATGACAGAATGCACAACTTGAAACTAGACTTGAAAGCCTCAGTATGCGAGTTCCCCTAACTGGATGTGGGATCCCCAGAAGTTTATATAACTTCTAAGGACTCTTTCCATCCACATTCATTTTAAGATAAAGACTCAGGATTTCTACTTTCTAGTGTTCTTTATGGTCCCCACACTCATTAATTCTAATTTGTTCACTTGATATTCTCCAAAGCAACTCTTGATGTGTATCCAAGGAAAAGAGGCAAACAAGTATAATTAATGAAGGAAAACTTAAAACTAAAAGTTAACATGGGATGTTTGTCTAAGAATAGGGCACAAGATTATAGAAAACCCAGAAATATATGAAGGAAAGAAGCCACAGGAAATAGAGCTTGAATTTTTTTTGACCAGTCCAGTGTATAATAACAATGTCTTTAAAGTATTGGATGATAAATAAAATTGGGTTGAATTTGATAATTTGGGGCATTTTTTGAAGTCCATAAGCAACAGTAAATACCTAGGCTGTCAAGTTATGAACATAATAAAAGATCAATAAGTGATTGCAAAGTCAGGTGAAATCAAAAGGAAGCATGAGGAAGTTAGAGTCGTATTTCAGCAAAGAGTAAAGTCTTTAATTTGTGGTGCATTTTTATTTGAATTCTATCTCTACTATCTACGAAGTGTACTATGTTGAGAAAGCTACCTAAATTCTTATCTTCAATTTTTTATTTGTAATATTGGAATACAATTTTCACAATGTTTTCATGGTGATTAAATTGTAAGTATTTGCAAAGTGCCAACTCCAGTATTAATTGACTTCAGCGTGCGGATGGATTTTAGAAATTATTTCCTGTGTTTAAGTGTCACATTTTAATTTTAACATACATTTTTCTAATAATGTCTTGGTTACAAATCAAAAAATGTCTTTGAGAATAATGAGATTTTTCTTGACTAAAGTATGGGGATAACTATTGCTCTCCTCAAAACGTTTATTATTTTTACTTCATAAAAAATGATATTTCAGCTAACTTAAAATATGGGAACAATGTAAGCATAAGCATTTTTCTAAAGGAAAAGCTTTTTAAAAAAAAAAAAAACAACCCTTAACTTTTTAGTTATGTGCAGTGCAGATCTTCGTTAAGAGGGGGAAAAAAAAAAGACAAAGCATGGTGAAGATGTATACCCTCCCCGACCCACCTCATCAGATGCTAAGTCTTAGCTATGGCATTAACTAAATTTAAAAAGATTAATTTATTTTCATTGTGCCACATTGACTGTTCTTATATTTAATTTCCTGACTCTTTATCATCTGTCTAAAAAGGAAAAAAATTACCAACACAAATTTAACCATGTTTGTTTAACTATGTCATCTGAAGGCTTTTCAGCAATGAAAACAAAAGTTGGTGCAACTTATCAAAACTCATATTCTACAACTTGAATAAATGAACAAGTATTTATTGAACACTTGTGTTTGATTGCTACTGCTAGCTTCTGGGCATCCAAAAGTGAATTTAACAGTGGGAGTGACAGGGAAAGTGAGAGAAAGAAAAACTCTCTTCATGGTATATTCTCTGATAAAGTTTGCATTCTGCAATACCCAGCTGAGAGCCATGTTTTAAACTTTTCTTCATATGTATCCCAAATAGCAAATCCTTCTACGACCAGTTGTGCAGATTACCACTTATCTTTTGAAGCTGGGAGTTAAGTAGCTAATTTCCTCATTTAAGGACAATACAACAGATTCACTAACTTGCATATCTTTGTGCATCTTTTATAAAACAAAAGCAGAACGGAAAGTATATGTATGTATAAATACATTTTATTAAGGGTTTGAAGATTTTGGTCATTTCATTTTATTGGTTTTGCCCTATAAATCAACCAATTACAGAGGGGTCCTTTGAAGATGAAAAAACAAAAAGTTTAAGAAACATTTAAAAAATTAAATCACTTGGGAAACAATACAAATTTAGCAGCACAGGTAGTAAAATATTACATTTGGAAAATTTAAAAAATGAGATTAAGCTCTGTTTTTAAAGATGTAATTATTTAACAGTAAATATATATATTTACCTGGAATCTTACCTACTAATTAAATTTTATAGAGTAGAAATGAAACTTTTAGAAGTAATAAGCAAAGCAACTATTTTAAATGTCAGACATTTGCTAAAATAACCATATTAAATTTTAGATATTTTGTCTACAATCTTATTATTTCTGATTTTGTTATCTAACTGTAACAAACAGATAATAATTGTGAGAAAAATGAAGACTGAATCATTGTTATATTTTGATCCACTAAAAAATGTCAAAATTCTTTTTGTTAGATGCTATTTACTAGAGCAAGAAAGTGAATAAAAAACATTTGGAAAGATTGACATCAACATGTAAAACCCAGCAATCATTTTTTTCAATGTGGAATTGTTGTTACATGTAAAGAAACTGAAATATTGAAACATGAATCCAAGTGAGATCAAATCAGTATCAATGATAGCAGGAATAAATGTATTTAACAACCCATAGTTTGGAATATCTTATACTTCATTTATTGTTATTTAATCATAGAGTCCTGTAGTTCAACAAATGTTTGCCATGCTTCACCTCTGTCCCAGTCACTATAGGGAACAGTAGCGATACAAAGACAAATAAAATAATGTAAAGGCTATCAATGTAGTGTTACAATGAATGGTGTTCCTATGTAGGCAAACACAAAAATCAGTTGTTTCACTATGACGTGTGAAACATTCACATATATATCTTGACTTCTTATATCTAAAAAATGGCAAGACAATTTCATGCAATGTAGCTAAACAGCAGAGTCATGCCCCTGTGCCTTCACCATATGTCTGAGTATATTTTATAGTATGGGATTAGGTATTAAATTGCTATATTTATACTGAAATCTGCTTTAAAACCTCAATCTCTAGAAGCCTAAACTGATCTCATAAATGGGCATCACTCACATTAGAATATAAGCTCCCAGAAATGTATTCGAGCTATATTAATGGAAAATTATTTAACATAGAGGATTTGGAAGTAAATTTTTGATGGAATTGTGAAAGAATGTTAAGAGATACTGATAAATGAGTATCAACCAAAAGATCATACATGTATGATAACTGAGACAACTAAATAAGTTCACTGGAAAATCATGATTCATCCCATGAAATTCTATTTATTTGTATTATTCTTAAACACTTCTATTGAAAAATGTAATAAACACATTATCTAAAAAGTTCACAAGATCATGAAGAGAACACTAATCTTACAGTTTGGTCCCATTACATATTTTTTTCTTTGGTAATAGCCTCACCATATATTTTATTCTGTTGTTTTTTGTCTGTTTTATCCTTTCTCTAGGCAGCTACTTTGACAAAAATTTGTAAATAAAAGAAGTTTTCAGCGTGTTACACATGTAGTAACATGTGTACGCATGCACACACACACACTTTGATTTTTAAAAGGAAATATATAATTATTACAATCATTTTTCAGTCAATTGGGTAGAGTGTATTTTCTCTGATGTGGAATATCAGTATTTCCTCCTCATTGAAGAAAGTCTTTAGGGAAGTGTTTGGAGTGATGTAATAAGACAACACTTATATCATTCAGAAGACTTTTATGAGAAAATTGGGATTATAAATAACTGATAATAGTAATTGGAGAAATCAATGAAATAGTAGTTGTAGTGATTTTAAAATCACGTAAAAATAAGCATTATTTTGATCACTGAATATTGCAAATTATTGATGGAGTTCACTTTTGCAACTGCCATTATCTTTCTGAGGAAAAAAAGAGAGTATTTCACATTCATTTTTCTCATTTTTCATACAGAGTCTCTGAGGCCTTTAGAAACTTAAAAATATTTTAGATAGAAAGTCCCATTTTCTTGAATGGCTGAGTCAACAAACATATCTCTAGAGACAGAGTTCAGTAATTATTATAGCATATTATAATATTTCAAAGCTAATTTTTCAACAAATGATTGACACATGTCTAAATTATCTTTAACATAACAAAAAAGGTTACATGGGGGAAATTCTTTCATTTCAAGGACATATATATTGGCAATAAAAATAATGTATATTCTGGAAAAATGATTACAGAAAAGTGAAAATTATAATATTCTGAACCACCATCTCTACTTTAAAATCATACCATGGTTTCTATAAAAGGTTATAGAGTGTACATATTGAAGAGTTAACATGATTAATTCTACATATCACTTAAAGACAAATTAAAACAACATATGAGGAGCATAAGTTGAATAAAAAATAAGTCTAATTTTTCATTCGAAAAATAAACATTTTAACATTTATATTCTTCTAATATTTCAAAAATCTACAAATTTTTGTCATTGAAATAATGGATTATGAATATGAATATCAATTTTTATAGAATTATATTAATTACAAAAATCAAGTTTTTAAGCTAGTATTAATGTGTGAAAAAAATACTTAATATTTCAAATGTATTGTATGGTATCAATATGAACTAGAACTAGATTGAAGTTAAGAATAAAATATATTCAAATATCAAAATGGAAAAGTGATTATATATTTGAAGTAAACCCTAGACAGAGTATATTAAAAACTTGGATTATAAAAGATATGAAGATAAAGAATGAGAAAAAATAGAGTCCAAAAACAGACAATATTGATACAGTAATGATTCTAAAATACAGTGTTTCGTTACAAATAATGCACATTGTGATATATTTTGAATAATAAAACATTTGCAATATTTGAATTGTCTATTAAAAGCATGACACTGTTCTAATAAGGGAAATCTACTTCATTACTGGGAGTTTGAATAAGACACTTTGCAGATTTTTAAAATTTCATTTGATCTTTAAACACTGGTGCTGGAAAGAAATTAGAGCTCATGTCCCAACAAACCTTCACCTTTTGTAGAGTAGAATAAGGAAATCATTTCTAGACTAATTTAAAACATTAATAAAGAAGGAATTTTAGCAAAAATGTCACTCAGATATCAACAAATATCATTTATGTATTCCTCTCATAGACCATTAATTTATTAGTAACTACAAAGTATCAAGATTCTCTTCTAATAAAGCAAAATGTTAGGTATGTTCATTATTCTGCCACAAGAGTTATCTCATTTACTTTCATGGGAATTAAACATTAATCAAAACTCAATATAAAACTACGTTATTTCCTTGAAATTTACTTTTGCTAATGTTATGCTTACATGTGTTCATAAACATGCACATACATAATGGTTGAAAGAAATGAAAGCTATATTAAAATCGATTTTTTTAAACTTTATGTATAAAACACTAAAGACACTACCATTTAACTGAATGCTAATCTTTGGGAGAGTGAACATTTAGAGAATTTTATTTCACGAAAGAAATGAAGTACGTTAATTATATTTATTAGCATAAATTTGAATGTAAAACTTAATGCAAGACATGTATCCATATTAAAATGTTAGTCATATATGTACACATATGTCCTGTGTATATAATTTCAGAGTTTCAGATTTTTATAAGAACTTAGATACTTAATAATATGTTTTATGTTAAAATTGCGTATTTAATTGAATAAATACTCAATTATTAAACACCAAGTTATTTCTATCTTTGGCTTCAAAAGCCAAAGATATGTATTCCTATGTCTATTATGTTCATTTATAAGTATAAGCTACCTTCATTTTTAGATATTAGGTTAAATACTTTTATAACAATGGGCACTGATAATCTATTTTTTTGTTTTATAAAATGCCTCATTGCTTCTCTTTAATGTTTTATATATGCTACATATACTGAA